GGCACAGCTATGACTGTGGGGTCGAGGGCATGCAGCTGCTGGTGCTCCCCCCGGAAGGCCGCACTGTGCGGTTCAAGGTGATGGGTGAGTGCCCGCTGACTCGGGGACCCCATGCCCTGGCTGCAGGGGGGCTGGGGCCCTCTCCCTGTCGCAGGGACAGGAAGAGGAGGGGCCTCTCCCCACCACACAGGGAGGGGGAGGAAGGCTGGTCCCTGCCTCAGTTTCCCTAGTCCCCCAGGCAGCGTCGCTGTGCCAGTTGGTGCCACCTGGCCACTGTGCGAGCGGCAGGGCCCGGGCTCTGAGGCCCAGTGGGCCTGCCCACCGCTCTCGGGGGCAGGGTGCGGCCGCGGGGAGAAGAGGGAGGGGGGTTTCCAATCAGCTTCCAGCTCTGTGAGCGGCCGGCCGGGCTCCCGCTGGGCTTTGACTCTAGCCCCTCGGCTGTGTGACCTTAAACGTCCACTGGGCCCCTCGGAGCGTCCGTTCCTTATCCGTAAGATGGGCAAGGTGTGCCCTGAGGCCTGAACCCACGCAGGGGACATGCCCACCCCAGGGGGTGCCCTGGCTGTGCCGGGCTGACCTGGGAGGTGGACGCGGAGCAGGTGTGCCCAGGTGAAGTGGCTGCAAACCCCGGTTAACCTGGCGAACACTCAGCGCAGCCCCAGGTGCCCGTCCTCACGGGGGGCGCCACCGGGGAGGCTCCCCACTCCCTCCGGCCTCAGCTGCCTCGCCCAGGACGGGGAGGACTCGGTTGGAAAGAACGGACAACACGCAGCCCAATGCCCGGGACCTACTTATTTCCCCGCCACTTCTTCGTCCCCACCCGCGGCTGAGCGCTGTCAAGGGGAACCGAGCTAGAAAGAGCCTAAGACCAGGGCAAGCCACCCGCCCCTCACAGAGGTGGAAACTCGGACAGAGAGGCCAAGGGGCTTGCCCAAGGCCACACAGCACGCAGCTAGCAAAGCTGAGGCTGGAACCCGGTCTCTGCTCCTGAACCGGGAGGAGTCTTCTCAGCAGACCCCACCGCCTGTGGCTTCAGCCTCCAGCCTCTCTCCCCTGCCCTCAGCCCCTCTCCCCTCCTCTCCAGCCTCTCTCCCCTGCCCTCAGCCCCTCTCCCCTCCCCTCCAACCTCTCTCTCCTCTCCCACTGCAGATGAATTTGGGAACCAATTTGAGGTGAACAACTGCTCCAGCTGCTACCACTGGGTCACGGCCAAGCCCCAGGGGCCTGCAGTCTTCTCTGCTGATTACAAAGGCTGCCACGTGCTGGAGAAGGTGGGCCCACCCCCTCTCTGGGGGGTGTCCCAGGGCTGGGGGCCAGCTTGGCCTCTCACGGCGTCAGGCTGGGAGGCCCCACATGGGCCAGGGCTGCACCCACAGCACTCAGGGAGCAGGTGGGCGAGGGGGA